CCCTAAATCCTAAACCCTAGGCCCCTAAATCCTAAACCCGAAGCCCCTAAATCCTAAGCCCTGTAGCCTGAGTAGGGCGGTGGAAGTAAGGAGTCATCCCACACCGCTCGGCACGTATTTATCGGCCTGCGCCCTTCGGCTCAGTGGGAGGTGTCGCTGGTGTTGGTCCTCAGCTTTCCGAACAGTTGCGTGATGCTTGCGTACATGTCTACAGACATGGGTACTGTAAGCAAAATACCGAGTAAATATGTGGCATGTATAGGCATTGTACCAAACATCCCTATAACACGCCCATGAAGCCTATATTATATTGTGATAAAACCCTATAAAAACCCTAAATGCTATGAGAAAGCCGAAACCCCAAACCCCATGACATTTCCTGAAACCTCGGTTGCCGGGAACCCCAGGTGTTCTATGGAGTTCTGACGGGTCGATCGCCGGTTGGTCTGCCAAGCCGATTGACAACTCAGGCAACTGGCTGGAGGCTTTAGGAGTTTAGGGCCTATGTAGGGTTTAAGGGTTTGGGTTCATGGTTTCGGGATTCGGGTTAGTTCTGTGTGTGTGTGTGTGGCAATTGTGGCATTTTGTTGTTTGCTTGTTTTCTTTTGTGAATCTCCTGAAACTACACTAAGGAAGTCCTATCGCAGAGGGCCCCCAAACGCGGAAACCAAGAAGGATAGTTCGTCCTCCAAAGCAGCATCCAATTGTTCTGTCATTTCGGTCGTTCTATGGTTTAGAGCTAAACCCTAAACCCCTAAACCCTAGGTTTGTTATACCCTGTCTGCCGAGGACCTTGCTGGGGAGAAGATTTATCTTAACATCCAGTCAGAGGAGGACGCGCGCTTTTGCCAGGAAGTTGCAGAGGACGGGCTGCACCCAGGGTCTTTATGGGTGTACAGGGTTCAGCTATAGCACATTTCGGGGTTTAGAATCACTTTAGTGAGATTTGAGTTTATAGAACCGGTTTATCCATACTCTCCGCGGTTGCCTATCAGGTGCAAACCCGGTACTACTGTGACTCACAGGCTTAACTTGTCGTGCAGCGAAGTATGAATGACTGTTGGCTTGACGTTTTATGGGTTCAAGGTTTGGGCACAGCTGTTTGCAAAATAACGACGAGTCCCAGGCATTCATGCAGGTTCAGTGCTTTCTTGTTTCAGGTTTCTTGGGTAGCTTCTGTGTTCCTAGACGAACCCCGACGTGCTGGACCTTAAACCCAAACGACGAACCACAAGACAAGAAGTAAAAGATCTGGCTTCCGAGCTTTTCAGTCTTGTTGAACCACCGAGCCCCGGTAATGTAGGACCCTCATAGTCTTGGCTTTTGGGCTTAGGGTCTCAGGTGATACTCGATCCATCGACAGATTGAGGTCTGCCGGACTTGCAGGGTGAGATCGGAAAAGAGTGTAGGGTTTCGGGCTTTAGGTGCATTTTTTTAGTGACTCCTTGGCCTTGGGATGTCTGCAGGTGGTTTTGGGCTTGAGGCTTTAGGGGCCAGGTTAGGGGTGAGGCTTAACACATGCAGGGCCTTTGTGAGTTCACCCGCCAGAACCTCAATCCCATAGGGTTGTTAATTAGCACCCGCAGCTGCTATAAGCCCATGCCGCCGAAATGGGGGCGGAGGTTTTATGAAAGATTAATTCTAAGGCCGGAACTTACTAAGTTCAAGAAGCTATGTACAAATCTCAACCAATATGAGAACTTTTGCAGAATCAAGACGGACCCCTTTATAACTTATCATGCCCTCACCAGGAGACTATTCTGTCCTCCCGGCAGTCGCGGCTCTAATTCGCCCTTGTGGGAGCTTTTCTTTTCCGAAAAGAAGGAGGGGCCCCAGTCCAGGATTGAAGATTTAATGAATCCCGAAACCCTAAACCATAAACTCCCAAACCCTAAAGTTCCTAAAGTTTAATGCCTAAGTCGAAGGGTTAAGGCACGAGTTTAGGAGCCATGCTGCTGGCATGCTCCAAGCCTCTTGCTTTCTGTGTCGAATAGCCGGTCCAGAAGCTCGTGTTAGTACTACCGCAAAACCTCACATTATAGATATGTCTGGTTCCTTCCGTACTGAGCCAAGCATTGGAGGGGCAGTCAGTCAAACTGAGCAACTACCAAATGGAGCCGTAGTTTCGTCTCCCTGGCTTAGGCAACTGCACTGCTGAGGAGCAACCTCTTTGGCCCCTTCTTTTCATCAAGGTTTGTCCGCCCGTACTTGCAGGTTCCTGGGTCGCAAAGACGTAAAACCAACCCTTCCCCTTCGACTACCCATGAACCTGCAAAGAAGGGCAGGGCCCGTTGTTGAACCTTTTGTGGCCGATCGCACAGGCCGGTCTAGGGCGAGGATACTGAAACGATCCGGGCACCTAATCTTGTGGGACCCTAGGAATAGAACCTAGGAGTCCGAACATGGGATTCCCGGCTGAATCGTAAAGGTAGCACGCACTCACCGGTCGTTTGTTGTTTGGTGGCTTGTTTCTTCTTGTTGTACCATTTTCCTCACAACTGCGATTGGAGTTCGAATGAAAAATCCCTATGATAGCTCAAAAATTCCCCAGAATCTCGAACCTATGTTTGCCACCACCAGATCCACCAGGTTATGTCTAGGAGGGAGCCAGTTCAGGTCCAGCACCTCATGCACACACCATGAGTTCCATTATGGATCTGGAGTTCAGGGCCTTGAACCCTAAACGCGAAGCTGATTTAGTTAGCTTGAGCGAGTGTGCGAGTCGAAACGCCAAGCCCAAGGATTGTTTGAGTAGGCCGGCCCGTAAATTGATCCGTGGGGGGTAGCTGAGTCGGAGCCACTTCCTGGCCTACGCACGCAGCGGAAAAAAGACTTGGAAACTGTGCAGAGACGAGAAAAGTTGGTCGAAACTCCCTAGACCTGAGTCCTACGCCGAAAGTCCTGAAGCTTGAATCATCGCATGAATTTTTGAATGTAATGTACCCCGAAGCCCATTCTGGCCCCTAGGAATCTGGGGAGCACCTGCGGCCCATCGGAGAAAAACACACCAAAGCCTCCGATGAAATCCACGAAGGCCTCAAACCCCGAGCCGAGGCTTGATTTGCCGCTTAAGGGTTTCTCTGACGTTATATGTATAGAAAAGGGGTTCTTTAAGGTAGTTTATGGGGGGTGTCTTTAGGGGTTCCTTGAAGGTGTTTTATGAGGGCTTTGTCTGAGCCATGCTCCTTGAAATACTTAAACATCGAGAGCCGAAAGCTCCCTAAGCCCGAAACCCTGAGCGCTAAACAGCTCGAGCCCTGTGACAAATCTCGTTGCGAGACAGGGGTGTAAAGTCAGAGGGGTACAGGCTGCGGTCTGCCGGTCCGAAAGTAGAGTCTCCTTGACATACTATGCATAATCAAAGTAGTTCATATACCATTTATTCTGGTATATGAAAGCATATTATATACTCTGTTATACCGTAAAATATATTGAGCTTAAGGTACAGTGTCGCATTTGTTTTGGCTGGCATGCATAGTAATAGCCAAAGCTCAATGTCCTTTTTCATGTCCTGTCTGGTTTTTGGGGTTTGAAGCTTTTCGTGTGCATATAACAGAGGCATTCTCATGTTGTGCAGGCCTGTCAAATCCTCAGAACGTCCAGCTCACCGTCGAGATCACCTGTGTCGACCGAGAGGATCAGTTTCGAAGGCTGGTCAGGCGTTAACGTTGCTGACAGGGGCCGGAGTATTTAGTAACTACACCCTTCAAGCCCCGAAACCTAAGCTCACCACTCCAAACCGAGCGCATTCCTGCGGCGTTGCGAGAGGCTCCTCGCCGCCGAAGATGCCGTCCATGACTTGGCAGCAAGTGCCGGCGGCAGGAGCCGGAACCGCCAAACCCTACCTTACAAAAATGGTACTGTAGGCCGATCCCAGCATTAAAAATAGGAACATAAAGAGAGTAGGCTTAAGCAACTTCTTCCACAGGCATGGCCTAAACTGCCGCCCCCCCCGTTTTCAGAAGCCTGGGCTCTGAGGTCGTTGCTGGCTCTTGCAGGTCCAGGGATCAATGGTTGTCAGCTTTCGTCTTCATCAGTCCTGAAGAAGAAAAACGTATCCAAGCCCGTATAAGTAGAAGAAGAAAGAGCATGATTTCAGGATCGGGTGGTGCACCCGGATCCGTAGACCTTACCGACGAAGTGCACGCCCGGCAGTCTGCAGTTTGCTGTTTGACCACTGCAGATCTTTGGCTTATCTTAAAACAGAATGTAAGCAGACTGCACTCTGCGTGCGCGATCCTGCAAGCCTGTTCGAGCCCACCAGCACCTACTTTTTTGACAGCGTTCTATACTTGAAAGTGTATGTTACGGTATGCTGACCTCACACGAACTGGAACAGTTGCCAGTGCTGGGCACTTCTTTGTTAGGGCCCGAGAAGAAGCACATAAGCACAACTGGGATAGGGATATCCCATATAACTCTCTTATATCTTGTAACATTCTTATGCTTCTATCTTTGCTGGGGCCCATCTAATAAGCGGACTTGCAACAAGCAAAGATAAGCCTGCCAACACCTAGCCTATATCCTTACGACCTTATCTTAAAGGTAGATAAAGAAATCATAATGAGGAAGCCGAAAGAGGTAGGTTCTTTAGGGTCCAGGTACAACTGATGAACCGAAGCCCTAATCTCGAAAGGAGTCATTCCGATACGGCTTGAACCTTCGTAGCGTCGACAGGATGACACAGAGTCTGGGAGCAGCGCCGGAAGCCACCTTCAACGCGCACCTAAGCGTTTGCCACATTTCCTGAGTTTACTGCTACACAACTCCTAAGGGGCTTCTGAATAGGGTTCGTAGCAGGACCTACTATGAACTCCATAACCAAAATAGTAGTCTTTGGATTCTGTTAACCTCTCAGGGCTTTAGGCCGCTATCTTTGTGGATTTTGGAAGGCTTAAACATTTTAGGTTTGCTTGGTATTTGAGCTCAATGGACCCTCGACCACTGTGAGAAGTTGCAAAGCACCGCTCTTCCGAATAGCCGGTGCAACAGTCTAGAGGTCAGCAGATTTCGGCAAGGACAGCCCTTATAGATAGTCCCAATATATGTATATCATAATAATGTGTGCCTTCCCCTCAAAAAAGAAGCATTCTACATGATTATGCAGGCCTGAACAACACTAGTTGACTTAAACTTAAATGGTCCGATCTGTTGTCATGCTTTTTTCAAGCCTCAGTCAGAGACAGAGTCATCAGAGCAAGTGATGCTGCACCACAAGTGCTTAAACTGAGGGCTCTAAGCCTGCAACCCTGCGATCAAGATCTTGTGCGTTGAGCCTAAAAAGCCCCGAAACCGTAAATCCATTGAGTTATCAAAAGACCGAAACCCAAACTCCTCACGAGCACAGGTATTCTAATTTCCCAATAATATTCTAAAGCCTACGAACCTCGAAATCCTAAACCCAGGTACCTGCTCCTGGTGCAGGCTTTTGCGGCACAGGTGCTGCCAGAAGGGGCCATGACCAGGCCAGGCATTTCCTCAGCGAGAACTCCCAGCGAGGGTCGGAATAAGTAGTACCAATACCATCCCCCCAGCTAGTGTTCATAGCTGTACCATAACATGATAAACCCAAACCCTGTTCTAATTAATCAAATTAATAGGCCCCTAGATTTGACATTATGAGTCCTTGTTGTGCTAGTTCGAGCCTGTATGAAGTCGGACAGACTGCCTGCTGAGAAAAGTTGCCCGAAACCCTGAGCCGTTCAACTTTGACAGAAAAGGGCACCTGAACCCGCAGATATCTGCTTTAAAACGACCCCTATGCCAGGAAACCCCCGTGTCGGTGTGGTTTTTAATCCCTAGACCCCAAGACAATACTCCCAGGGCACAGGCCATCTGCCTGGCCCTGTACGCCCTCCAACGGCCTTTGCCAGGCCACGGCGCAGAGGTTTTTTTAAGGTTAAGGGATTTAGGGTTCAAGGGAGCAGAGGTTTAAGGGAGATTCGTGTTCACGTTTTTTTTCGAGGCATCAGATTTATTATTGCAGGTTTTTGCTGGGCTGTATGTGATTCAACAGGGTTAGCTTTCAAGGGATCCCTGTTCAACGATTCCTACTTACATTTGCAAATATAGATTTGCAGATAATGACATACATGTGTATACACATGCACAAATACGTGTATACATACTTACGTACATACATACATACCTACGTGTGTACGTACGTATGTATGTATGTATGTATGCAAGTATGTATGTACGTGTGTATGTGTTATATACACATACACACGAGGCTTTTCTAGGAGTTGAAAGGTCCCATATTAGAGGCCAGAGTTGGGGATGTGTGCTTCACGTGCCTCACGGTCTTTGTATTTTACCGGATGGTAGTCTATAGCATCTCTTGTGGTACTTTTATTGGCCGTAACAATAGTAGTTAGGATAGGGTTTTGTGGCATGTTACAGCTACAACATACCTATAACAAAGAACCTCAGGAATAGTATAGATAACTATTCAAGCGTGTGTACATATATACATACATATAGATAGATATAGCAACCCTTAGAGCATTGTTTCAAGTTCCGTCAGCTCAGTTCTGAGCCCCAGGTTCTTGTCGGGTTCCCTTGTCTAAGACTACATGCTGGAAACTCTAAACTCTACCCTGGACCATACTTCCAAATGTGATGCCCGTAACCCTAAACCCTCAACTAAATCCTAAACCTCACACCCTAAACTCGAACCTGCTTACGAAGCACTGCTTATGCAAAGCCTGTAAGCCCGAAAGATTTCAATTGCAGAGAGTTTCTGCCATAGCCTATGCACAATTCAAGTTCGAATGACCGAACGTCACAGCCCTTTTTTCGTAAGCCCTCCCTCCCTTGATAAGGGTGCCGTGGCCTTACAGGAGGGGGTTGTCAAACACAGGCATGCACTGAATACATTACATCCTAGATCCCAGCTTCCAACCTCTATGGTCTAAGTCCCAACACATCAACTTCTTAGTCCCAACTCCGAAACCTGAAAGTCTAGTTCCGATATCTTGGCAAGCCGAAGCACTGAGGCCAGCAATCCTTGGAACGTCGTGGTCAAGGCCTGTGCAAGTGCTGGAATCCTCAAAAAAAGTGGTATTGAGGCTTAAACTAGAAGGGCGCAGGGTTTTAGGGTTCAGATCTCATCTTTGGAGACGCAGGCTGTTTTGCCTGCCACCTCCAAAAAACTATGATGTGAAATTGCCGTCCGCCCGCACCGTTACAGTGCATCCCGTTGTTGAATCGACATTTAAGACCTTAAACCAATCAAACCCTATGCCCTCAACCCTGAAACCTCCCCCTCCCCTGATGGACCTCGCCTGGCTAGTCCGAGTTGTGAGAGCATAAACCCTGAACACTAACCCTACCGTTACCGCCATGCCTGCTTTGCGAGTGTGTGAGTCGAATCGTCGAAACCCTAAACATTGAACCCTACCTATAGTCTCCATTGTAGTTCCTTTTTCTGGTTTAACCAATTCTACATTAAGGATCCTAAAAGGTACCCCCAAAAAGGAACTACAATGGGGACTATAGGTAAATCTCTTCCGTAAATCTCGCAGCCCAGAAAGCTTCAGGTGCCTCGTGGGCTGCCCTCTTTGGAGCAAAGTCTTTTACAAGTGGGGACTCATTGAATCCCAGAAGCTTCCAAGTCTTCATGGTGGTGACAGCTTTTACCACCTTCGGGTTTAGGGTTTAGGGTGTTAGTTAAGGTTTAAGGTTTAGGGGTGTTTCGGTGGTGATAACGACTCCCCTTTCATAAGATGTGCCCAAGTCAGGCTTCACCATGCTAGAGCATCCCACCGTTTGAGCCCTGCGAAGGTTTATGTGAACGAGCAACCTAAACTCTGTGTGTCAAGGGCACATGTTGCGGTGGGCCCGGGGTTCGGCCAGTCTAGGTATTGCCGGCAGTGTAGATCTCCGTTTCGGAATGCATAGTACACAACTAAAAATGTGTGTTTTGCGTGAGCAAAGCTTGAACCCCTTTGAACCCTACAGTTAACCGTTTCTATGCACTGATCATAAACCCTGTGCAGATCCTTTATGCAGCTCGTATCAAACGTCCAAACACCAACAACCTGCACCCCTGCAAAGTTCATGGGGCCAACTCTGCCTAAGCCTTACAACCCCTTAAACCATAAACCGTAAACCCGATGCCCAGGCCCATAGCCAGCACTGCCGTATGTTCGTATGTATGTATGTATATGTATGTATGCATGCATGCATGCATGCATGCATGCATGTAAGTAATGTAAGTATGGGTGTATGTAATGTATGTAATGATTGTAATGTATGTAATGTATGTAATGTATGCAATGTATGTAATGTATGTAATGTGTGTAATGTATGTATGCGTGTATGTATGTATGTATGTATGTATGTATGTATGTATGTATGCATGTATGTATGTACGCAAGTAAGTACTTACGTCAGTAAGAAGGTAAGTAAATAAGAAAGTATGTATGTACGTATGTATGTATGTGCATTAGATATATGTGTATGTGCATATGTGTGGATATGCATATGCACACATAAATACATATACATACATACATACATACATACATACATACATACATATATATATAGATAGATAGATAGATAGATAGATAGATAGATATCCAATCAGAGTAAGGAGGTACTTAACGAGTGAGATGGCTTCTTATTATGATGACTTGAACCTTACATGATGCTAAGCCTGTAAACCCCTCCACGAAGACTCCAGATTTGTTTCACGACTTCCTCCACTTCTGCGTGGACTTCTTTGGAGAGGATTGGTGCGAGAAGAGGTGGGGACCTGGGGGAACAAGCAGGGATAGGACCTTTATAATGGGTGATGCGGAACTACTGCAGCATGTAAGCTGGCCCGAGCGTGATCCATGGTCATAGTCCGAGTGATCGTAATGATAGCAAAAGGGTCAAGAAAGTGGGTACTAGAATGGTCAGATGCATATTCGTCGCCACGCTGCGCAGGTCAGCTCAGTTGCCTTCTGGATAATCCTTCTTTTCACGTTTCACGCCATGGTCGTCGTGTATGAGAGCTATACCTGTGGGTATCATCGTGGTGTAGGCCGTCGGAAGCAACAGGGCGGATACCCCTTCCTTTCATCCAGAGAGTCTTAGCAGTTCGGAGCCTCAAGGCACACAGAGCCATGGAGCTGCTCCTCTAGTTGCGTAGTCCAGGGGGTTCCGTGGTCACCTGCATGGGAACGTGGCGAATCACATGCATCGTTACGGCACACGGTATGAATTGTCGCTTGGTCCTGTGATGAAGACTAACTGTTCCTGGCCAAAGAACTCGTCCGACAGGCCGTGCAAAGGCACATGCAGGGAAGAGGTGCCAAGGCCATATAGGATTCAGTCTGTTGAGCTTCCGGGCTTGCAGTTTCGGGCCACTATGGGTATTCTGGTATACTGACAATAAGCTCATAGTTCCCTCTACCCTAAAACCAAGTACCCAGTATCTGCTGCAGGCTGTGCGACCTCTTGGCCATCGATGCTGCTTGCCTGACGTTCATGAGCAGCTCTCTAGGGTGCCATGGGTTCGGGGTTCCGGGTGTCGCAAATCGTGGGTCAAGAGTTTGGGCAGATCTTCTCAGCGCAAGCGAAATGTCGAACTCCATGGTCCAGCTCTATATATATATATAAATAAACATCGACACATTGAATAGGATCCTCTGCCCTTGAGGATCGCACGTAAACCTCAAGCTGGGTGCAGAAATACTGAGTGGAGTCTGCAACCGAAGATGAGTCTTTAAGTCCATGAAGCTCTACAGACCACACCCTGGCGTCAAAACCCAGAGCTCTGAACCCCTAAACCCTAAACGCCGACCACCTAAACCCCTTAAAGCCTAGGCCCCTGGCCCTGACAGGTAAAGCTTAAACACCGGACCCAAAGACACAGGCTTACACCCCGCAACTCCTGAACACATAAGCTCTATAATGCTCTCAAACGGAAAAGCCCTACACCCTCAACCCGTAACCTCCGAGAGCCCGCTAACCGCCCAAGCCCGAAAGAAAGCCCCGCCGCAAGAAAGGGCAATCTGACTGCTTGATGATCCAGACCCGGCAACCCCCAAGCTCCTTGCGCTCCCTTAACCCCTCAAACCCGCTTGACTTGTGAAGGTCCTAAAGCCTAAACCGGTTTGCTAGGTGAATGGGTCTGCTTGGCGCCGCTTAGCGGCGGATTCGGGGCACTTCGGCAGCAGGACATCTTAGGACAAAACAGGGGTTGTTTTGAGTTATTAGGAAGGAATGCAGAATGATTTTTTTTTTTGTGGCTGGGGTCTTGTCAGTCAAGAACGTAAGGGATCGAGCTTAGCTTATCAATGAAAATGGGGTTTGTAAAGTTATGCAGTAGTCATGTTGGTTGCCGATTCCCAGCTGATGCAAGATTTGAGCCTGAGCTCAGGAAAAAGAAAAGGGTTTGCATGTTGTTTGTTGTGTTTGTCAGCGAGTTCGGTGTTGAGTGCTAGTTTAGCTTCAGACACTTCTGATTGTTGTAGTCTCGGGCATCCCTTTGGCTACGAACTTCCTTCCTGCGTGCAATGTCCAGTCCGTGCTGACTGCCGCAAGCAATCAAGTGTCGCGCGAGTGTCTGCGAGTCAATCCCAACAAGACATGCACGTGAGAACATGCAACCGCTAGCAGAATGCCCTAAAAGGCCCAATTGCCTGGGACTTGGCACCCTCCCGCGGAAGGATGACCTGAGCCCCAAACCCCCTGCGCCTCTTTTGACTTGTCAGAGTTGCGAGACGTTTCGGTGCCAATTAAGCACTGGAAGCCGCGAAGGGGGGCAACTCAGCTTCACCCCAACACACTTCCGTTCCTTTAGCATATTATACCTTCCTTCAGCATAGTAGACCTTCCAACCTTAGTCTGAATGTTACAGCCCTATACTGGGTTTGGTGGTCCTTGGGATTCACCAGACGAGCCCAGGCTCTGGTTTAGGGTTTCGGGTTTGATATCGAAGCCTGAATACAGTACCTAATTACCAACAATTACTAGGTATCAGGCACGGAACCAGATTAGAAGTCAGGAACCCGTCAATTTCATTTGATGTTGTTGATCATCGGATCCGTTCAACGAGCTTTCGTGCACAGGTGCGAGCTCTACATGTACACACCGCCAAAGGGCGACGCTGCAGTGGCATCGAACATCGGTCGAACCATTCAAACAGAGCCTTGGTGACTGTTCCTGTTAGCAGTGATGGGGTGCCTTTGTTCCAAGAGTTCGTAGAGGGAGCATCAGCATTCCAAGAACACAAAACTGTCACCTTGGCTATCCGATGGACATTCTGGCGATCTCCACTTTGTTAAAGCTAGCTTGCTTCACAACCGCACCGCTCCTCCGCGTCACCGCTTCGAAACCCTTTTTGCGCACATCAATCGCGTATGTACGCCCACACACACACAGAGACCAGGTGTAGAGCTGTCCTAAAGACCGGAGCACCGGCAGTGTATACACGTCCACCTGTAGGGAGCTCCTTGCCCCCCCCCCCCCCCCCAGGCCCCAGAAGTCAACTCCGCAACCCAAAACCCACGAAGGGTGAAATTCCGAAGTATCTCCCAAGGGCTCCAAGTATGCAAATGGTACCTACTTTGGGGCCTAAAGTCTATAAACAGGACCTACTCTGGGCTATTTGGAGTTCCAGGGTCTGGCAAGCCCTAAGCCCCTTGCCCAGCCTGCCGCACGCGAGAAGTGTGCCATGCCCTAATCTCCTTCAAATCTCCTTGGCACCCTGAATTCACCAGGGTCGAGCCTTAGGGACCTGACGCAGGGCCGAGGATGGATCCGCAGAAACTCGATGCCTGAAGCCTTAATAGGGAAAAGACAGCAAAAATGAGACTTGCCTGCCTGGTGTAAGTGAATCCTAAGATTCTCTGTGTAAGGCTCCCCAACAAGGCACCCCGGAATAGAAAAGAAACACTATTTGCACAACCTTATACATACATACATACATACATACCTACATACATACATACATACATACATACATACATACATACATACATACACACATACATACATACATACATACATACATACATACATACAATGTATTATATATGTATATGTATATATAGATAGATAGATAGATAGATAGATAGATAGATAGAGATAGGTATATGTTTGTACGCTTATGCAAAACTATGTAGACTCATATAACCGTTATGCACGCATACAAGACCCCAACAAAAGGTTCAAGCCCCAAAAACTATCAACACTATCCCATACAGTTCCTTATACCTTTAATATACCCCACAAGCAAGGTTAGAATTACTAAAGCCCCTTCGGCGGCACCCCCCGCCCCCCTTGTTCCAAAGACTTCTCCGTTGGGCTCAGGAAGCCGTAGCGCAAGGAGCGAGGGAGCTGTACCTCGTTGACTTGAGCTTGAGGGTCGGTTTAGGCTTGCGGTTTCGATGGGATTGTTTAGGGATTTTTCGCGTTGTCTCGGTTAGGGTTGAGAGCTCATCCCGACCACCCTCAATCGAAATTTCCTGAGCTGCACTTTCCATGTCCACAATGGAGCCAACTGTTGCTTGTGTCTTTCATTGAGCGCTTTGTTGCTGATGAGGGTTGACGCGGCTGAAGCGTCAAAGTTTTAATGTCGAGGGTGTTGTGTCTAAACTTCTGTAAACCTGGGCTTAGGGGTTGGATCCGGATATTTTGATCCTGTGTTTAAGGGTTTCTAGGAACAGGCTGGTATTTGTCTCCCAGTCGGGTTATATTCCCGTCATGTCCACTCCGTTCTGTTTATGAAGCTGCCGTTTCCCTTGCACTCGTACATACTTTGAAAGGCCACGGACTGAGCCAGCCGGTTTCCATTTGTGTTTTGCTTGGAGGGCGGGCGGGCGGAGAGAAACCAACATACGCACAAGCGGGAATGCAAAAATTGTGAGCAGCCACCAGTATAATCGCAACAGCTGCTGTGGTTGTCGTCAAAAACTCTTATCCTGCTGTCGCTGGTTCCAGCGGTATGCAAATATCCCGACCAAAGCTTTTAAGTCTGCTAAGTTTGTGCCTCGGGGGTTAAGTGTGGGATATAGTCAACTGCAAATGGACCTCCGCCACCAGCCACAACTACCCTCTGCGCTGTGCCCAATTGAGCTGGTGCAGACTGAATTCTTCCCTACCATGCATTTGAGGCTTTGTGCTGGCTACGACCTCGGGTGCCTTGGTCAGTTAAGGGGTAGAGACGGCGAATTTTCGGGGGGGGGGGGGGGGGGNNGGCTTCCCGTTGGCTTGCTCTGTGCAACAAGCCCAAACCCGCAAGCATGGCAAGGTTTCGAAACCTCGACGAGCTCCAAAGTCATCACAGTCCCGGTCGACTGTTCAGTTCCCAACGCTCCAGCACCCTAATCCTCAAACTCCTAACCCCCCTCCTGGACCCCAAAATTCAGATCCCTAAGCATCCCTAAGCCCTGAGCACTGCATCGCGCACGCCCTAAACCCCAAACCGGTACTTCTAGCCCCAGACCTCACGGCTCTCCGAGCTTCCGTGATATTTCATGCCTGCCCTGAGCCTTAGTGTTCTTAAGACGTATTCAGATTCTTTGATGATCATAAACCTGGGTTCTTTCATTCTTGTTAGTAAAGCCCCATATTTTCCACCGCAGGCCTTGCTGTTGTTTGTTTGAGGTTTATCATTGATGCACATGCGGAGGAGACTGCCCCAACCTCTCGAACCGAAGATCCCATAAACGCCAAACCCCACACCTTAATTTAAGCCCTAAAGCATCCAGCTTTTGTGTGGAGAGCCCGGTCGCTGCACCGGAGAGAGGTAATCCACAGAGTTCAGGGTTTAGGGATTTTGCGGTTTAGGGCTTAAGGGGTGTAGGAAAAAGGGGTTTGGCGTTTGAGGCTCCCAATGCTGAAGAAAGGGGTGTAGGGTCTTCTGAAGCTTGCACGCTGAGCCCTTCATCCCTTGTCGCAGGGACGGCCAGATTCGGCAGACTGATTTCCGATGCTAGCTGTGTCTTTTCGCCGGTGTCTGGAGACGACAGCGTATGTCGGTGTTTTAGGGTGCAAGATAAGCGCCTTGATAATGTTTGAAAAGTTGCAAAGAGTTAGTACAATCTTGTAGAGACTACAACGATTGTTGTTACCAATTTCTCTAATGGTTCAGACACAAATTTAGTTTAAATGTTGAAATTACAGGCATTCAGAGCCGCGCGCTCCGGAATTAGTTTAGTATTGCGGCTGGAGCTTCGATCTCAAACAGAAGCCATCCCGGGAAGCAGTCAGCATTGAACATACACCACGACCCTCCCTGTAGCCTTAAACGGGGTATAATGGAGGGTAGATGGAGGGTCTAGATAGGTTTCTTTGCCGCATGCTCCAGAAACCGGCCTCGATCAGAGAAACCGAACCCAACGCTTGCCTGCATTCCTTTAGGGATGCATTAAAGTCTATAAACCCTAAACCCCTAAACCCAAAACCCGGACTAGACTCCTTTTACCCTAGAGAGTCGTCAGGATAAGGGTGCTATAATGGCCTTAATAATTGCCAACACTATCTTGCGGGCTCCTTTATATAATTATAGTATAATGTACCCCAAAACCCTATTCTCATTATTAAGGCCCGTAGGTATGTATGTATGTATGTATATATATATATCGGTTTGGGGAGACTTTGGGAGGATGCCAGCAAAGGGAGCTTGACCTGACCAGCGTAGCAAATGCAGATTGCACAGTTTAGGGTGTTGCACAAGTCTGTGCAAAAGGGAGAGCCTCAGTTGGAGCAGGGTTTCGGAATTTCGCACTGTCGGATTACAGGTTCTGTTTTGCAGGATTGTGTGTTTTCCAGAGGTCAGCCATCAAGTCCAATATGAATGCGGCCCTAAACCCTAAGCCCTTGGACCCCTAAACCCCTAAACCCCAAAACCCTGATCTACATAAAGCCTCGGGCAACTCCAGGGGGGTTTTATGTCCCGAGGCAGAAGATGGAAACCGCTTCGGTGGTTATGTCTTCGGATTCCTGCCATCAACAGGCATTCAAATCCTAGACCCTAAACCCTACACCCTACACCCTGCCCTAAACGCTAAACCCTAAACTTTAAACCCTAAACCCTTATCCCCAAATACAGCACCCTCAGGGAAACGGGCTGAGCTTCTGTGGGGTTTGCAATTTACTGCTTCATAAAAGTGCCGCTCAAGGTCCAACTACAGTACCGACTTAGCCAAGAACATACTCCAGCAAGGGTCCTCATCAAGGGTTCCTAGTCCTACTCTCGTTTAAAGCTTTTGTTGTCATTGATGCTGTGATCTTTCGCGGACGTCACGAAGGATTCCTGCTACATGTTGAGGTGCATTCTTTCCTTCCGGGGTGCTGCATCTCTAGAACAGTGCAAGGTTGAGGGTTAAGAATCTAGGGCAAGTCCCTGAACTAGGTCTCCTCCTTCCATTCGCTAGTCAACCAACCCTAAACCCTAAACCCTAAACTCTACTAAACCCTAAACCCTAGACCCTACTAAACCCTAAACCGAGCCCCGGGCATCCGCGGGCAATCTCTTGCTTTTCAAGCGCGTCCCTCGAACGCCCTTGCAGATCCGCGGCCTCGAAGGTTTAAAGGCCAGGCAACCTTAAACACTATAGGGTGTAGGGTTCAGGGTCCCTAAACCCTAAACCCTAAACCCTAAGGGTTTAGGGTGTAGGGTTTAGGGACTATAGAAGACCTTTAGGCCCTAAAAATACACTTTATATCGGCCTAGGGTTTGGGAGCTTAGGGTTTAGAAAAACCGTGCCAACAATGAATGTAAACAAAAAAGCAGGACTGATAGCCCAGACAAGCACCCTGAACCCTGGCTGTGCTTGGAAACTGTGGGATTGTGAGTGTTCAATACCTGGAGTCCTGTTTATAAGGGTGCCGTACTATTTTGGGGACCTAAAAAGGGACCCTCATTCAGAGAACTACCCATTCGATGATCGCATTTGCATGATCACCAGCTTCTTTCGTTATCGCCACGTGTCACCTAGCCTAGCCATTGTTAGCACCAGGTCGGCCACTCGTGCTACTGATGCGATTAACAAACTTTGGTACGGGGGCTATCCTGACATCACTGCCTGCGACACTTGCAAGCGATTCGTGGCTGCGCAGAAATTCGTTGCTGCAGCAACTGGTGAGGACGAGGCTTTGCAGCTTTCCGGGGAAGTATCTTCAGCTGAAAGCCACGAACCTCACACCTTAAACCTTAGCTTCAGTCGGTTCCGGTGTTCTACGCTTCTTCTATTTCTGATGTACGTGAACGCTTAGTCTCTAGGCCCTCTAGGCTTTGCAACCCAACTTTTCGTTGCCAGGTAGAACCCTAAAGCCCAAGCGGCCCCCGGGAATCACAGCCCTAGCAGCAGTCGCTGCAGCTGCAGCTGCAACTGCAACAACAACAACACCAACAGTCAACTAGTACTGATACTAGTGCTGGTACTGGCAGTAGTACTGGTACTTGTACTGGTACTACTACTATTACTACTATTGCTACTACTACTACTACTACTACTACTACTACTGAGACTACGACTACGACTACGACTACGACTACGACTACGACTTCTACTACTACGACGACGACTACTACTACTACTGCTACTGCTTTTGTTACTGCTACTGCTACAACAACAACAACAACAAGTAGTACTAGTACTAGTACTAGTACTACTACTACTACTACTACTACTACTACTACGACTACTAGTAGTACTCACAAGAACCGACAGCATATTGTATCGAAAAGAGCACTTATTTCTGCTGACAGCTTAACGTTCCCACGTGCTGTTCACGCGCGCCGTTCCAAGCTTGAAGTAGTAAGTCAAGCAGAATTACGTGGCAAACGCAGCACTTTAAGGCTTTAGAACGTTGGGCAGTGAACAACTCTGAGGCACGGAATCTTGTAAATGCGCTGAGGCTTGGGTTTTGGACACATCTAGGCGGTTCATTAAGGGCTTTTACTGAGGAAGCCTCTCCCTCGCACAGGTTTTGCCTGGAGTTTGTGGGAACGTTATCAGGGTTGGCCCCTGGATGCTCTGCGTGAACGGGTGGATTTGTGGGAACGTTATCATGCTTGGCCCATGGATGCTCTGCGTGAACGGATGGAGTTTGTGGGAACGTTATCATGGTTGGCCCATGGATGCTCTGCGTGAACGGATGGAGTTTGTGGGAACGTTATCATGGTCGGCCCATGGATGCTCTGCGTGAACGGATGGAGTTTGTGGGAACGTTATCATGGTTGGCCCATGGATGCTCTGTGGGAATAGGTGGAAATTGATCCGGACAACGGCAGGCGCGACGTTTCGACACAGCAAGTCCGCCAATTTCCGTAAATACCGACGGCTTCGAGGCCTCCGCGCCCGTGCTTCTGCTCCCCCC